GTAAGATTCTCCGCAACGTCAGCAACGATATGGACCTCTTCACAATCACCGGCCAAGGGTGGCACTTTGTCAAGTACCTCGGCCCGGCCGTCTGCGTCGTCGGACCAGACTGTCGCTCCGAGAGGAACCAAGCCCGCGTCATGGCCGGGCCGACCTACCAGGGCATATTCCCCAAGGTCGCGACGCTGCCTCCCAGCGTACAGCACTGCATCTGGATGGTCTCCGTGCCGCTGCTATACCCGCGCCTCGAGGCGGTCGAGAGCTTGGCAGGCGCCGTCGCGACGGGCAAAAAGGTTGTCAACACGTCGTACAACATCCTCGGTAAGGTCACGAGCTCTGTGGCCGGCGTCGTGGGTGGCAAGGACGTTGTCGCGCAGGGCTTCACACAGGTGAAGAAGGCGGTTGGCAAGTCCGGTCTCATGGGCAACGTCCTGAACCAGTTTGGCGAGATTGACATTGCCGAGATCCTCAAGGATATGTGGACGCACGATTCCAAGGACCTGGAGAGGACGTACTTTATCCGCACGCTGCAAGGCATCTCCCAGCAAAAGGGCATTCGCATGACTTTCTTGTCAGGAGGTGAGTACCCAAGACCCATAACTTTGCTTTATTTTTGGACCGCCCACTAACGGTATCACAGACGTCAACTGCGCGGGAGCAGGCCTGGTCCACGACCCTACCCACCCAAGCGACCACAAGACAATGTACCAAGTAATCACCTCCCCCATCGTAGCCCAGCCCGCCAGCAACTACATCCTCAAGCTCCTCCACAACAACAAGAGCCTCTACGTGCCGCAAAACGGCCATAAGTCCAACCACGAGGTGTCCGACTCCAAGGAGGACATGATGGAGATCTTCCACACCGACGCCTCGGGCTCCGCGCGCGAGCTCAAGAAGCTCATGGGACGCAGGAACTATGTTGCCGTCGTGGCGTATGACCCGGAGACCGTCGCCGGTGGTCCTGGCGGTGTCGGTGGGTCGCAGTATGCGGGTAGCATCATCAATGGAGGGCAACAGCAGCAGCAGCAACAGGGTTTGCAAAAGTTGAGTTTGGCGGTGGACTTTGTCGTGCAGGGTGATGGTGCGTTTACGGCGCCGACAAAGTATGGGCCAGTGATTGTGCCCCATTTGGAGTTTGGGAGGTAAAGAAGAGGGTGTGCGTGGATGGTGATGGTGATGGTGTTGTCCTTCTTTTTCTTGGATTTACTTTAATATCTCTCTGCCTTTCTCTCTAGCACACCCATCCCCAAGGTATACAGCGGTAGCTTGACGACCTGATGATATACTTCAAATCTACAACATTGATTCTCGAAGCTCGCACGTGATGCGTAACTTTTGCCATGCACCATTTTGAGTGATCATTGCAATTCATTTCCATTTGCTGCTCTACTGAAAAATCAAGTCTCGAGAGCGGGCCTGTCATGGCCACTCTCGACATGTCGCAGGTCTGTTGTTCCCCATGGCCACGGCTTCACAACCACAAAGTCTAGAAAGCTGGCCCCATGACATCTCATCCGCCCCCCTTTTTGTTGGCTTCATCTGATGACCAAGCTAAGGTCATCCTTTCCGGCCTGCAAGTCTTTTGTAAGATTTCCCTCAGAGCCGACTCCTCTCCGCTGCGGTTCACAAGTCAAACGTCTCCTTAAGAATGCGAATGGTATCCTCGGGGCCGGTAACAGAGTGACCAATGGTGCGTTCGTCAACGTAAATCTCGTAGTCGTTTCCGCCCTCGGACGTCTTGTCGCCAAAGAAGTGGATCTGCTCGTACTTGACGCCGCCCTCCTTCTCCGCCTCCTTCTCGAGGTGCTGGAGGCAGTACGTCTTGTCCCAGCCGGTGGGGAAGACGTCGAACGAGATCTGGCCGCCGATGCTGAAGGTAAGACCCAAGTGGCCGAACTTCTCGCGGAGCTTGGCGACGAAGTCGCGGCGGACGTTGTGGATCTTGTCGTAGGCCTCAAAGGCCTGGCGCTCCTCGTTGGAGGCGTTACGGCCGACGGGGGAGATGTTGACCATGCCGTTGCGGAACTCGATGAAGGTGCCGCGCTTGATGGGGATGTCGAGGTCGGCAATGTGGTGGAGGGCGAAGCGGACGAGCTCCTTGTACTGGTCCTCGCCAATGTACTTGATGAAGCTGTTGGAGGCGAGGGGCTGGCCGAGCTTGTAGGCTGTCAGGCCGTTCTCGGAGAAGCAGAAGTCGAAGAGGGTCGTGACGGGGGTGGTGGCGTTGCCGAGCTGCTCTTGCTGCTTGGAGTAGTCGGAGCCGCCGACGAAGCCGATGGCGCACTTTTGGCGGAGGCGGGCGAGGAGGTCGAGGATCTCGTGGGAGGCAGCCTGGGAAGTAAGGGGGAAAGTGTTAGCTTGGATGGTTTTCCGGGTGTAATGCGAAGAGTGATTCTTGAGGAAGGGTACAGCTGGAAGGAAGCCGGAGGGATTCAAAATCTGATTTTTGGAAGAAAAGCTTACCAGACGAGCGGGAGTGAGGGTGCCGTCAACGTCAAAGAGGCAGATGGTGTTCTTCAGAGGGCGCTCCGTGAGGGGAGGGTAGCTGGGGAGAGAGGTAGCCATCGTGACGGTGTTTGTTCTTGTGAATGCTGGCACGATGGGGGTTCAATTCTGGTATTGAGTTTGGTGAGACTTTGAGGGAAACAGTCTTGTCGTGAGAATTGCGCGCGCTTTGAGGGAGGAGGAAAAGGAAAAAAGGTCCAACGGGAAAGTTGAGCAAAGGGAGGGCGGTCAATCGTGCAGGAAAGGAAGCTCTCCTTTTCGGGATGTGGCAGGCGCGGCGCGGGGTTGCTTTTTGGATGGCGGGGCAAGTGAGGTGCTGTGGTGCACTGGTGCTTATTGCGGTGCAAGGGTCCCTTCTGAAGGGTCTGGGTCTGGGCCTTGTGCAAGGTGTAGTGGGCAGTAAGGTAGGGTGGTCTTTGAGCTGTAGGTGCAAAGAACCAAGAATCTCGAATTCGATCCAGCGCGATGTTGGACTGCATTTATAACTCTTGCTGAAGCTGTAGCCACCTTCAATGTTTACCATAAGTATTGGTAAATGTGATTCGACAATGGATGCTCTACCATCTGCTGACCGAGCATCAACGCAGCTCTCATCTTACCAGATCTCATGATTATTCATCTCTTGATGATCTGTCCTTGCCTACCTCACCAATGTCGACATTGCAACGAGCTCTGAACAGCTTGCCTCTCAACCCCATGTACAAACGGGCAACAATACGAAAGCATTGGCATTGAAACGAGATGAGATACGCAATTCAAGTGATTACTTCTGAAACTTGCCCGCTAGATCATCTACGCCATGCATCGGGGCAGTGCTTAAGATGACGAGTTGTTTTGTTTCCCCTAGGAACGTGGTTAGTACCGGGGGGGAGATGTAGACATCGTGGCCTCTGCGAACCTGGAAGTTAGGTTCCCTGAGCAGATCACTATGAGGCGCAAGGAACGATAGATTGCAATTTACCGCGGACTAGGAGGGCACTAATAACACGCTAGGCGACGGAGGATCGTGGGCTTGTGATGGAACCTGGAACGGGCTGGGAACGTTGCCCCTTGCGGCGGCGCCCCGGCAGGGATGCGTGCTCCGGGGCTTGAGGGTGGAGCCGTTCCCGGCTCCGACTCGGTGACCTCTACCAACCTAAGGTACCTCACCTCGTCGTCAGTACACATCATGCATCAATTACACGACCAATCTACGATTGCCCACCAGATGCTATTAGAGGACAGATATCTCTCTCTTCAGTGTTTCTAAGCTAAGGCGTAATCCGGCAACTACGCGGAATAATCCACCACCCTTACCTAGTGACGATCATGCTGCGCCTCTGTTTCGAAACAGTCTGGCTAGCAGCAACAATACGTGAGTGAGTCACTCACTCATCTTAGACGTTCGAGCCAGCGAAAGTCCTTGAGGTCAATCGTAAACACCTTCGGCACAAGTAGGAATTTTTTGACAATTTCCCTTCCAAAATGTCGTGACCTCACTCCATCCATCTCTTGACCGGCTGATTCCCAAGAGTCTTTTCTTCGTCACCGGTACCGCCAACAGGCTGCTGTGCCGAACGACCGCGTCCTAGCTCGAGGCCAGCATTAGTCAAAATAGCAAAAGAAGGATGTCTCTCAAGAAAACAAGCTTACCTTGCCCGGAGTTCATCGTCTCGCCGCTGCTCGCAACGTCGGTCTTGGCCCCCTCATCACCGGTAAAGACACCCTCATCTTCACCCAAGCAGCCCTTCTCAATATCGGTACCGTTACCAGCCTCTCGCTTGGTGTAAGAGTCCAATGTCTTCTTCTCGGCAGAACAATGCAGTTCACCTCCAGGCAGTGTCTTGCTCGCCAGGCCGGTGGTATCCCCGGCATTCGACTTCGAAACGGCCAGGCCATCATCACCTTGAACGTTGGTCTGCTTCTCTTCACCCAACCTTTCACCTCCACCAGTACCATCCCAAGCCTTCAACTTTCCATCATTTCCCCCAAACTCCCCCTCCTCCTTCGTCTTCTCACTACCACCGCCAAACCCAGCAGCGATCCCCTTCCCAATCTCAGCAAGATCCTTCTTTCCCCCCTCACCATCGCCACCGCCGCCACAATCGCCATGGTTATAAGCCGTAAAAGCCCTCTGCGCAACAACCCCAATCTCTATATAAGCAGGTCCCTTGCCGCCAGCCTGATCCGCCTGAAAGCCAGCAGAGGCCTTTTTGGCGGCTGACCCGACGTCTGCCCATTCTTGGTTGTTTGCAGTAGCAGTCGTCGTCATAGTTTGGGAAGTTGACGAGTCCTGCTGCTGATCCTTCTTGCCTTGGTCTTTGCCGGCGAGTTGCTGGGCCAAGTCTGTGAGTTTGTTGAAGCCTCCCATATTAAGTGTCTGAATGTCTCGGCTTTTTGGTAGTTTTAGGGAAGTAGAAAGTGATTGGGCAAGTAAAACTTCCGAGTTGAGTATGATATGTTTCGCGTGGCCTGGTTTAATAACCAAAGTTGGCATGGACTGGAATGACTTCGCACTAGAAAGGGCCTTTTACTCAACCGTTCACGTCTCATTTTATACTTCATTCTTCCCTCATCGTCTGTCAATGATCCAATGTTGCCAGTCACCATAGTGACGCGCTGTTGCCCCTCTCGTGGAAGGCCATAAGTTGGCCAAAACACAGAACGTGTACACAATGACATGTCTTGACAACCAAACACGCGTACACAAGCCGAGCTGTAGAAGAAAACCAGATGAAGCCTCGCTTTAGTCTTGGCATTCCATAATGTTCGTCTCAATACGTTGGCTAGGGCACGTCACAACTTCGGTTACTGATGCCCTTTCGCTCAGAAGGGGTCTCTCTGGTGGTGCACGTACGAAACGTACGAAAAAAACACATCAGATGGTGATCGACGTCTGCAACGTAGGACCGTGCCTGAGTGCCCTTCAACCTCGTCCCTAGAAATAGGTGTTCGCTATATGAAACGGCAAACATAACCAACACCTCATGGGACTCTCACACGTTAAAGAAGCCAATGACGTACCAAGCCAACCGAGATGATTGTGTAAGAAGGACGTAATCGTCTGTGCTATTTATTTTTATAAACTAATGTATATGTAGATTCGTGTTTCCTCTTTTTGTACTCGAGAGGTAAAGACTGTCTATAAGTGGGAAGACAGAGAGTTTTCGTTTATTCTTCTCGTCGCACGCTATGCTTGGGTATACTCATACGGCGTAATAAACTAACGCAATATTGATACAGTCTGTACGTGTGCCAGCAGCTCAAAAGGGAGAAATGTACCGTTAGAAAGAAAGCGAGTAGGACACGTCAGTCCATACTCCAGTCAGCTCGACGACAACGTTGACAACGGTGCTGATCATCCACAACACAATGAGACCGTAGCCGATCTTCCGTGACATCACCCACTTGTTCATGGGAACGATGATGAGGAGGCCGAGCAGTGTAATGAGTAGCGTGATGGCCGAGATCATTAAGGTGCCTCCTATTTGAATGTTGTACGAGTGGTACTTGAATGGCTTGTCAGGGTGTTTCTTGTGTCGGTGGTTGGCGGCCTGGACCATCATGTAGACGCCGCCGATTCCTATGCCGAGCAGGATGTTGAGCATGGGACCACCAAAGCACGCAGACCTAGAAATGATTAGCATGGCTGTCATGGGTATGTAGATGGAAAGGAAGTTTAGACTCACAATGCCATGACGGGGAAGCCAAGCCGGGCAACGGTGATATCGGCAATCAGATCGCCCACGCTGTTGCCCGCGGCGAAGATAGTCAAGCCAAGGAGTGCTTCTGAGATGCCGAAAATGACACCCACTGCTTTCAAGACGCCAACGACTTCCCCGGCAATGGTAGAAATCCAGGCGATAGCAATGATGAAACCCATGAAGCAAAGCAGGAAATGGTACTTTGGCTTCTTGTCGGGACTAGTAGATAGAAGGAGGAAGCCGAGAAGAATCGTGGATGCTAGGAGTGTATATAGGATGAGTCTGACGAGGACTTTGTAGGGTTGTTGGAAGTCTTCCTTCATGTTTGCCCAGAGAATGATGACAGCAAATAAGGGTCCGGTGAAGAGCTGGATCGCGACGAGCCATCTGTTCCACTGTCCTGACTCGTCCACAGGAGCTAGACTGCTCTCCGAAGGCAACGGCGCGGTAGGTTTTATGGCTTGTGGGTGACTCGTAGGTATCTCTGTTGCCACGCGCGCACCACTCGGAGAGTCGATGGCAATGAGCGCTGGAGAGCCCTTGGGGGAGTGATCAAGTGACTGCCCGCGAGAGTGTGACAGAGTAGCCCGTCTGAAGCGCTGCCACTCCGTCTCTCCCTCGTTGTCTTCGTAGGAGTCGGCAGGCACTGGAGCGTCGCAGTGGGAGTGGTCTCGCATCATGGGATCCACGGCGGTCTCATCGGATGAATCATCCGCGCTCTCGTTTTCGACAACCGGAAGTGTCAACACCAGGAGCAAGATGCTTGGTACAGATATCGCACTGACAAATCTGTCCCAGTGGCTTTTCTGCTTCCAGCCTAACAAAGTTGGGAATAACGTTGCCCAAAAGATATGCGGCGGAGGTAGGATGGCGTATGGCCACCACCTTACAGGTCGGGGGTTGGCCATTTCATAAGGCGCAAATGGCACCTCGAGACGAGCCGGTCCAGGCGGCGCAAAGAACTCGGTCGGTTCGGTCTGAGCAGCAGGCGTCAAAACAAGAGGCGATTCAGTGTATCCAGGGAAGGGTGATGCAGGCGAAGATCCGACGCTCATACTGCCACGCCGACTTGGTATTTGGAGGGAAAGTTGACCAGGCAAGGGCCGAGCTTCCAAAGGTTCGCTTCCCCCGCTGTCCTGTCTTTGTGGTACGGCGTCGACTGGAGGAGGTGCCAAGTTACCACCGATCTTGTAAGCTGGTGACAGACTTCGGTTTCTACCCTCTTGGGCCTTTATCTGTTGGATCGGGTCTGCGGGTGTTGGGAAGCGCCATGGCGATGGCGAATGGTCGCGACTGTTAAAAGACCCGGGGATATCGCCAGAGGACAAGGCCCGATTCCTGTTCTGACCATATTCCTCAACGGCACCTATCGTGTATCTTCCTGAGTCGGATGGCGGCCCTCCCACCGTGTTCGTTTCACTCTGTCCCCCGAGGTGGTTGACCGAGTAGGCTCGTCCATGCATCGGTCTCATCCTGTGGTTGCTTTCCTTTTGCAGTTGAGCCAGAGCAGATCGGAATTCGAGAGCGCCGACCAGACTGGGACGAATAGGCGTGAGTGTGTTGCGCCTTCTGCCTCTAGGACGCAATACTCGCATGCTGCTGGCCATCTCCGCGACGACGTGCCGCCCATGATCGCTGTCTTCCGCTTCCTCGTCACTCTCTCCTTGGCCATCAACTTCGATCCTGGGGCCAGCTTCTAATGCGTTGATGTCTCCAGCACTGGAAGCGGCTGCAGAGGTGACGTGCCGGTCCTCATCGTCGGGATCATCCCGGTATGGTTCCGGTGCCAGCTCGTCGCTGAGATGCCCCACCGTCCCGTAGACATGACCTCGTGCGGCTGCTTCCCGGACCCGCCGCTGGCTCCGCCTTGTCGAGTACCAATGCCATGTGACAACGGTAACCACGTAGAAGATGTAGTAACAGACCATCGTTATGCATTCCCATAAATGCAGGTGGCCATCTGCCAGGAACACCATGGTGAAGCAAACAGCCACGATGAAGAAAGATAGATCCCTGACGTACGTCTTTCTGCCAACTTTAAACTCGCGAACCAAAGCCATGGAGCCGGCAACAACGGCAGTGATGAAGCTTGCAGCACCGATCAGCTCTCCAACAGCCATGCTGGCGCTATTTGAGCCCATGGCTGCAAAAGTACTAAAGACATCGGGTGAGCCATTGCCAAAGGCGAGGAAGGTGACCCCAGCCAAACTCTCACTGAGACCGAGGATGGCAGAGATTGTGCTGAGATTAACGCTGAAGAAGTCGCTGGCGGCGATGCCAATAGTGGTGAAGAGCAAGCCGAGCCAGCAGACCAAGATGATAAAGGCTAACCACTGAGCCTTACCAAGGTCGCAATAATAGAGCGTCAGGTAAGAGAGGAGGCCAGCCTCGTCGTCGGCGCAGTGAGCCTTGACAAAGGCACACTGATCATCAGCGCGGTGGACATCTCGGCACTCGGTGAGCTCGGATCGTTTGGCGAGGGGTGAGGATGAGAGTGAGAGTGAGGCGTCTTGCAGCTGAAGCTGTCGTTGGGTAGCTTTGGTCAAGATGGACCAGGATGCCAAAAGACATATTAAGAATACGGTCGCGTAGAAAGGCCGCAAGCGAAGGGCGCCCCCTCGGATCTTGGAGGACGTTGGCATGTCTGGCATCAAAAGCTGATTGTAATTGGCTCATCCGAAGCCATGGCAGAGACCGCGCTGTCGCGTTGGCGTGGCCGTGAAGCCGCTCGTTCCGCCGGACAAGGAGGAACAGATGTCTCTCAATGGAGTTTGCTATACAAAAAAGAGGGCTGCAGCGGGTTTGAGCTGAACAGCAAATGCAAGCGCTTCTCACCTTCATGTACGACTCATGGGGGTCTACCGTCCGAGGGAGGCAGCCCGGGAAAACCTGCCCAGCCTCTTTCAGGAATTATGAGCGACGCAAGCTTCTTGGCCACCACCAGGCTGGAAACCGCAGGCAATGCCCTGATTGCGCCAAGTATCTACTCGTGTCTGCGTGGGAAACCCCCCTCCGACGTGGCTGTGCGTCAACGGAGCGGCAACTCCAAGAGAGGGGGGCTGCTTGCAACGGCAACTGCAAGAGAAGAGTTCCATAGTCCTCGGCAGATAGCGATCTTGCGTCACGTGCCGATAACGAGGGGGCCGCGAAGGGCCGATCCAATCTGATGTTTGGACGAAACGGGATTTTCAGCTTCCCCGCCCATCCGGCCCGGAAGGATAAACTTGACACCTAATATTCGAGGCAGGAACCTCTCTATTGTTGTTTCGCGTCGCCCAGGGACGTGCTTTTGGTGGGGAAAGTAAACACAAGGCTTCGGCCACCCACTACAGCATTACAGCATACTGCAGCAAACAGTCAACAATTTTGACGACAATCTCAGCGCCAACAACACCCACAGAGAAAAGATGCCTCGAGTGGCCCAAGTATCGCGCGCAAACAGCCGCGCAGGCAGTGTCAGAGCGACCTCCGGGTCGATGAACACATCACCCTTCAAGAATTCACCAGTCAAGTACGTTTGCGACAGCAGCCCCCGTTTACCGACTTTGCATAGCAACGAAACTAAACAATGCGCAGAATCCCCCTCAACGATGATGCCGAAGAAAAGGCGCGACGAGCGCATTCTCGCCACGCATTCCATGAGCGCCAGCGCAACGAACTCAAGGCTGCTGCTGCGACTCCTCTGCGCAGGAATAACAACAGCTTAGAAGATATCGAGAATGACACACCGGGCTCGAACCCCAAGACACCCCACGCCCGTGGCAGCCGAGGCAGCAGACAGGTTGTCGACGACGATGACGATGAAGGCTTTGTAGTCAGCGGAAGCGCGGTCACGCCTATGAAACGGGTTCCGATTCTTGCCAACTTTGAGGAATGGATGAAGATGGCCACGGACAACAAGATCAACGCAAACAATTCTTGGAACTTCGCCCTGATCGACTACTTCCACGATATGTCACTTCTCAAGGAAGGTGACGGAGTTAACTTTCAGAAAGCCAGTTGTACGCTGGATGGCTGCGTAAAGATTTACACGAGCAGAGTCGACAGTGTCGCAACTGAAACCGGCAAGCTGCTGAGTGGTCTCGCGGACAGCAACAACAAGAAGAAGGGCAAGGAGGGTGACGAAGTGGAGGACGAAGAGAGCGAGGAGGAGGTCGACGAAGACGGCAACGTCAGAAAGAAGCCGAAGCGCAAGGTATGTGCAAAACTTATGTCGGCTGTGATGGTAAGCTGACTTGTGCGCAGACACAACGATCCTCCGAGGCGACCCTAGCGCCCAACTTCTCCTCGCTTCAACTCAAGAAGTTTGAGTTAGAATTCGCCGTGGACCCCCTTTTTAAGAAAACCTCTGCAGACTTCGACGAAGGTGGCGCTAAGGGCTTACTGTTGAACCACCTCATGATTGATGCCCAAGGACGCATTGTTTTCGACAGCAGTGACGAAGTTGGTGACGCACACACCTCAAAGACCCGAAAGAAGAACGAAGACGCCGACGATGAGGACGACGAGAACACAGAGATGCAGGATGCTTCGGTAGTACAAGAGGAGCCCGAGCAGGAGGAGAACACCGAAGATGTTGAGATCGACTTGGGTGCCCTCGGTGCCAAGTTCTTCTCCGATCTTGCTCGCCTCGACGAGCTTGATGTATGTCCATCATTGAAGAACTTTGACCTCGGTGACCCGTCTGGTTCCATGGATATTCCTTTCCTCAGAGCTCCGGAAGATTGGAGAGGTGATCAAGACAAGGACAAGAACTTAGGCGACAACTCAGGCATGTTCATTGACGGCGACAACGCTGCTGGCTTCGACGACGACGACCTTGGACTGGGCGGCTTTGAGCTTGGCGCCGACGTGGCATTCGGTGAGGGTGGTGAGGCTTGGGCCAGGGAAGCCGCCCTTGAGCCCCAAATGCGGGTCTACGATGCTGGCCTAGGCGAGGAGGCCGGTGATGGTGACGGAGTCGAGATGATGGACCCAGACAATGGAGATTTCGTCGTATCCATGTCCCATGCCAAGAGCGCCGACAAGATGCACGAAGATATTCTCGGGTATTTCGACCAAGCGCTACAGAAGAATTGGTCAAGTGCCGAGCACTGGAGAATCCGAAAGATCAAGGACGTCAACAAGCCGGTCGGTCCAGCCAGGGTGCGCAAAGAGAAGGAGCCTTTCGAGATTGACTTCTCAGCGCCCCTCGACCAAGCCTTGGCCGACGTCTTGTACACCCAGGCATCAAGTAACTCCGCCATCTCCATGCCCAAGAAGGATTGGAAGTCAAAGTCTCGCAATCTGCTGCCTGATGATAAGCACTTCAACTCAAAATCACTTCTTAACCTCTTCCTCAAGCCTAAGGCACGCCTCGGCAGGAGGCGAGTCCTCGGAAACAGAGGCGGCATGTTTGGCAACGCCGGACAAGACAGGGACGTCCCAGAAGGAGAGATGGACGAGGCGTTCTGGGCAAACCAGAAGGCCCCTGTCAAGAGCGAGGACGAGCCGCTGCCGGAGGGAGACTACGACGCAAACTTCTTCCAGGACGATGCCTTGCCGTTTGCCGGTGGCCTGGATGACGACGACGACGAGTTTGCGGATGCCCGGGAGCACCTGTCGCCCGGCGCCGAAGGCGACGTCGGAGCTACAGAAGCTCTTGGCATGACGGCTTTGCTTGGCGGCGACGCAACCACCAATGTTCTGACCGGCGCTTTTGGTACGACTCTGGTTACGCAAACACGTCGCATGCGGCCAGATTACGTGCAATTCGCGCGTGTTGCCAAGAAGGTGGATGTGAGACGCTTGAAGGAGGAGATCTGGAAGGGCATGGGTCTTGAGGGCCTGGACGGCGTAAGTCGAATTTCTCATTTACCCCTTCCATCAGGAAATGAACGGATGCTAACCCACCACCAGGATTCCACAAGACTTTCTTCACCTGATGCCCCAGCGCCACCGGTAGAGCCGCCCGCCAAGGATACCGAACTCAAGTTCACCGAAGTCATGAATGGTCTCGGCTCTGTTTACCCCAAGGCCATGATGGAGGATATCTCAACAAGTTTCTGCTTCATCAGTCTGTTGCATCTCGCTAACGAGAAGGGTCTCGTCATCGAGAAGACGCCCGAGCTCACGGAGCTGAACATTCGCAAGGATTGGACGGCCGAGATCGTGGGAGGAGAATAGGACGACGACTGTACTCTTGTAACGCAAGGAGAGAAAGAAAAAATGGAGGAGTAAGGGTGTGGCGGAATCATGTTTAACACGTCGAGACATCGGCGTTTGTGTGTGTCTTTTTGTTGAACGACGGCATGTTTGATTTTTCCGGCAAAGTGTGTTGGGTAAACCTTTACGTCTCTAATGAACAATGGGCGGAAACATTCCATTTTGAAGCTTCGTTCCCTATTACCTTCACCTGTATCCGTACTTGGGGGCGCGGCTTAAGCTTGGGGAAAAGGAGGCTGTGTGACAACGGACGTGGGCGTCTTGTGTAATGGATCAAAGAGAACAAGATCAACGACCTCTCAACGGGGTACCTACTTTTCCTCGTCTAATTATCTTCAACCTTTTCTCGTGTCAGTGCTTTTTTCCTTTTCAGAAACGACACGCCGGACACCTGGGCCATGGTTCGTGATATGCATAAATAAGGTAAGCATGAATTGTTCTCTTGTTCATCGTCTTAGTTACCCTTAGCTTGACCGTTGAAAACAAACGGACGGGAGCTAAAGAGGGCAGGGCCATGAACGGAGTGAGTCTCCGTATAAGGGTGAAGAAAATGCTCGTGCCCGTTTTGGCGTGTCTTTTCAGGGTCCCGCTCTATCCCCGTACTTCGTACGCTATGGTTTCGGATCTCGAAATTGAATGCAGACCCTGCATTTTTGGTTCCTGCGCCTGAGTTGTTTTGGTTCTTCATGCAAATCTGAAGGGACGATGAGCAGCAGAACGGTCGGATGGTTTTGGGCGAGCGCAGTGGGCACTGTAGGGAGAAAATAATCAGACGGCAAGGGCGGATGCAGCGCCGTTAAATAGAGGCGCTGGTGCGAGATTTTCGTCTCAGCAAGTCGAAGGTGATTACAGGCTTGGATACCTTGGTGGCGGCAATTCGAATCGTTGAGAGAATATGTCTGCCTCTTCATCTTCTCTTAATTACTGTCGGCATCATTACTTTCAAACCATCATCCTTTTGTAAGCTGGCATTGCTCTTAGCGTATTCTTGATGCAATACTCGGTAGATAAGGCAGGCCAGCGTGCTCTCTAGGGAAATCATGTCTGTATGCGGACAGCGGCGATGGAAGCTTTGGTCTCTGGGGACAGAACGGACTAAATATCTCGCGGGCAATAAGTGTTCGACGCCTACCACCCCGTACCAATCGCGAAGCTCCAGATGCAAAGGCACAACGCAGTGGATAGAGTATTTATCATAGGCGAATGACCCTCGCTGTTCATCAGAGCCCACGAACGCAGAATTCATTTCGTACAGTCACCCATGGTTGCCCTCCCTTCTGCAAAGGCAGCACTCTCTCAACAGACAAGCGGTGTCGTCTGAATTGTCTGAAGGGACGTAATTATCGCAAACATTAAGTGCGACTTGTACTCCAAAATGAGCCAACAAATCGTCTGCAAGACTCGACAGTCTGTCGTCTACCAAGGCTTCATCGATTTCGGGGTGATCAGAAACCGACATACGCGGCGTTCAAACCCTTAGGTTCAATTATCCTTTCTCAAACTTCTCCCTCAAAACGAAGGCCCCTCCCTATCTCGAGCTATAATCTCTCCTCAGCGTATTCTTGATAGAATAGGTATACGTGACCAAGTGAGGAGAAGTAAGTTGTCCGTACAAACAGATCAGCCCTTCCCTGTGGGTATAATAGATTGGTGAAGTCGTCTATGAGAAGATGTTGCTGGAAATCGCATAGTTGTGGTAGAAGAACAAGTCAACCCACGACCGGTTGCCAATGAACTAGCGCTGCGTTCGTTTTAGAGTATTAGGGATGCAAACCTGCTCGTTCATCGATCCCGCGCAGGAGTCAGCATCAAGATTGTGCATGAGAGTTTGCCTTGCAGCGCATCTTCGATCTCACCTTGCCTTCCTGCCTCGATTTCCAGCGCCGGTTCCATCCAGTCGCTATCGATGAAAAACACATTTACAAGATCATCACAACCACTCCACTCATCAATAACCCATTGCGGATGGATTGTCAAGAAAAAATCAAGGAAAATCAAGACAAATTTCACGCAAACGCCTGGATCATCCTGCAACAATCACGAGACATTGCAACTTCCCATACTTTGAACCTGCCTTTCAGATCAACACACATCACCTTACTCGTGTCCCGATGAACGCGGAACGCGCACCCAAGCAGGGGTAGTATCACTAGACTGCGTACAGTCCAGGCAGGGGGACTCACGGGCGGAGTAACAATCGGGGTTAGTTTCGTTTGGACGTAACAAGGGTCCTTTCCTCTGAGCAAAAAATTGGGAAAGTGAGGCGCACGACCACGGGGCAAGAAAGAAATAACGATAAAATAGGGACCCCCAACCAACCAACACTGCCCGTCAGCCAACCAAACCCGCCAAGACCGGGGGGGACCCTCTTGTAAAAATCGAAAATCAGGCCAGGACCCCGAAATCCTGACAGAATTATGACGTTAGCCGGTGCGCTCAGGGTACTTTGTGCCAACACCACCAATGAGTGGTCAACTAAGGTACCATGCAGGCTCCTCAGCTTGGGGAAAGCAAGACCCTTCACTTTGGCAGTAGTGCCAACGGCCGTTCGGCAGAAAAGTATTGGCTTGTTCCTGACCTTCTTCCCCCCTTAGGAAAGGGTAACGCCCGTGATGATCCCGTCAGAAACGCGAGGCAGGACAGCGGAGGAAGGGTCCTCCCCCTTCTATTTTGGTTGACGTCATAACCTACCAGCCTTGCTCTGCTGTGTTTTCCTTCTTGAACCCCTACATTCCGATTTCTCCTTTCATTCCCATATGTTCATCTGAATAGTTTTGTTCAATTGAGACTGCATGCCATTGTTCATACAGTTTATATAGGTTTTTGGTTCCTCGAGCGACCAGAGAGCTTTTGTATCATGCAGAACCCATCAACACCCTATATCCAAAAGTTATCCATCGTCTGACCATGCGACGCAGCTTACAACGCCATTCGGACGACAAACAAATGCCAGGTCCAAACGATCAGAAAGAAAAAGAACGCCATGGCTATCCAGTTACGCCACCTCAAACAAGATCTCCAAACGATGCCATTTCATGAGGGTATTCAAGTAATCAAACACACCGACCTCAGCCAACCGGGCTGAACTTGACCGAAACGCTGATGCCATCAACGACGACGAAACAAACAACCGAATAAAATCACGATCAAACATACGAGACTGAACTCGAGGCCCACACAAACAGCTTGGAGATCCATGGAGTGGATGGAGAACAATCGTTGTCGACCATTTACCAATCTGCATCCGGTCACTGAACACGCCCGTTCACAATTTCGCCAGCCCGCACCAACGCGCTCATGCCGTCGAGCTTCGGGTCGCTCCTCTCCTGAACACCGAGCGACGTAGCAGAAGAAGCACCCGATGATGCTTGCGACACGTTCGATCCATCAGTCCCAGTTGACGAGGTGGACTGGAATCTCAACAAGGCAGGTGGTGATTGGTAACCTTGTAACCTCATTAGCCTCTGCGGAAAGCCTTGCTTGGTTTGACCGTGAGTACCATTAGTTGCTCCAATCGGAGCTTGTGGCTGCCCTGCGTAGGGCAATTTTGAATCCTGGAGTGGTGGTGGTCCAGCAGGCGGCACAGTCGAGAACGGCGATGGCTGCAATTCGAAAGGAGGCCCCGGCAAGGTCTTGTTCGATAACAGGGCATGAATCGGTAGTGAAGATTCACTAGGTGTTCGGGGGTATGACAGCCCAGACCCAGAGGATGAAATGCTCCCCGCGGACGAATATTCGTGCTTCAGCGATGGCGGTGCGGAGGGACCAGGGTGTGTAGGAGGCGCGAAGCCCCCAAAGCCGTTGGCTTCAGGAGACCTTGAGACGCCGTTCAATCCTCGCCCATTGCTGAATACATCCGAGAGGGATGGAAGATGCGGAAGTGTGACTGGCTCTGGTTTGACCGGAGCTTCCGTCCATGCTGGGCGGTGGTTCCGAGTCCGCAAGGTACGGGGACTTGTGGATTGCAAGCACTCGCCATCGAATTGTACGCTGGCAGGGGAGTGTACCGAGTCATCGTTGTGATGATGGTGATGGGAAATCGGGGTCGGCACGGCTGTCGAATATTGCGATTCGGATACCGACACCACGGAACCCACCCGCTGTTTGCGATTAGGAGGAGGTTCGCTTCCCTGGTGACTCTCTGTACCACTCCCCGTGCTACTGAGGCTCCCGGGTGTGGCACTTGCGCTTCCTCCGTTTTGCAGACGAACCCCCGAATCAAGCTTCTGACGTTTCGACGACTCTTTTGCTGGATCAGGGTCAGTTGGGCGGCCATTCGAAGCGACAAACCTCCACGCACCTTGATTTGCGGAGGCTTGCCGTGCCTTGAAATCTTGTAAGTACAGGTTGTATTTCCTATACTCTGTTGTCTTCTTGTACTCAGCCAAGTCGTGGTTGTACTTCTCCTTGGCTTTCAATGCGGAAGTTTCGTATGGCTCCTTCTCGCCGGGAGTTAAGTTTTGCCAGTGTTCTCCTACAAGCTTGGCTATTTCGGTGAAAGTCAAGTTCCGACCCTTGAGGTCATCACGCATCTCTGCGGGGATGGTCAGATGTGTTCAATGATCTCAATGCAGGGCGGAATCCATATCATACTGTTTGAGAAAAGGACATAGGCCGAAGGAGGTCTCTCAGGAGCATTCTCATCAGGCTATGTTCGTTAGCTTCGTGCAGGTACAAGTGTACGTCTGAACAGGTGTTACGGACCTTTGGGTGACGCCTATATTTTCGTTTCGTAGCGACAGGTCCCTCCTTGACCTCGAGACGGGGTTGATCAAGTCGTTGTGTCTCAGGCTTTGGCTCCTCTGCGCATGCTCTTGTGGGCGAAACTAGTGATGCATCCGGGGCAAGGCCACGAGAGTTGGCGATGCGTCTCTGCAATTTCTGCCTTGTGTTAGGGCTCATAGGGGTATCGAATGTACGTCAAGCACTTACACGTCGGTGTCCTAACTTGACTCCAAGTGCGTCGCTGCAAAATTATCCTCGTCAGTCTCGAGTATGTGGCGTGGCAATAGCCATGGTTCACTCACAGATCAGACTCAGTAATGTCTAATATCGTCTCCCACGTATCGAATCCTTGCTCGAGAAAGATGTCTAGGTACTGCGAGATGCCTAGCTCTGCAAAAATTCTATCCAGTCCTTGCGCCATGGTCTATTTAAGTGGCGTATATCAAGTTACGTCAACTCGAAGGTGCTGTTGTTACGGAACGGTGGTGCGATGGTTTGCGAAGTTCTTCTGCGTCGAAGGTGATCTCCAAAGAATTGGCGTTGACGATTTGCCACTTTTCGTTCAAATCCCTCTCTGAACCCAAACTCTTTCATTCAGTCGTCGATTCGATTTGCTACGTCTCGATTTCTGTCGCTCGAAGTCGAAACACTTCCTTTTACGTTGCGGTCAACCAATAACCATTGAAGGCTTTCCTCTCAATCGAGTCGCGGCGGTTGGGCAGCGACAGGCGGCGCCTGTATCGAATACTGAGCGTCGGTCGGCAATTATCGTTTTCTCGTCGTCTTCGGTGCTGCGCAAATCGGTCCAAGAGCGATGTTATTGAAGTAATTCGGAAAGTTTTCGATTGCTGGGCAAGTTCTACGTCTGCTCGGAGCGTTGACGATAAGTAATTGCAAAAGAGAAAGGCGTGTGGCACGCATGGCGTGGATATACCAAGTTGGTGGCTGCAATATGGAGGACGGATCTCGATGACATTGAAGGAGACCGAGCTTTTGGGGTGTGGGACAACGGCAAGTACCAGACCAAGCAAAGAGGGGCTTCGGGATTCAGATGGAATGGGATGTGTGCTCTGGAAAGAATACGTACTTTATGAGAATGCGTTTTTCTGAGCCGGCTCGGCGGTTTGCAGCCGCATGAACGACGGGGAAGACAACAGATAGATGGTCTAGTCTGGTGGAGGAAAGTAGGGCGCGTCTCTGGTGGGAGTGATGAAGACTGGACCAAGTTTGTTTGATCGAAGAAGGGGGTTAGGTTTGGGAGAAAGTGACCAAGCCGGCAAAGTCTTTTTTTTTTTTTTTCGTCGTCTTCCTTTGCGCAGGTTGGGAGTTAGGAACGGTGAAGAACAACTAGGGGGGGGGATGGCCGTCTACCAAGACGGAGACAGACGAGAGGGCGAGTTTGGTGAGCCAAGGGGAGTAAGGTAAGGTATGGTATGGATGCCAGTATGGAACGGAGGAAGGGCGAGGTAAACGGTTCGAAGATTGAGAACAACTAGCCCCGCGGTGATCGACGCGGATTGAGAGGTGAGGTCAGAGGTGTCAATGGGGAATCTCTCTTGAGGGTGGGTGTGTGTTGATGGTCGACCGTAAGGTAAGGTAGTAAGTGCAGGTACGGATACTGGTAGCCTCAGACGTCGCCGCAGACTCGACTTGTGATCCGGGGTGGCATGTCCAATGGCCCCAAGCCCCAAGTAGAGAAGCTAGAGCAGCAGACTGGTGGATAGCTCAAGGTACCCAGGACAAGCTCCCTGGCGTCTGATCGCAGAAACCGACTTTCGAGAAGTCGGCGACGAGCAAGACCAGCAACAGCGAGCATCTACTACCGGAAGCACATCGCAAAGAAAAGCGGGATCGAGCACAAGGACAGACAAATATGGAGCCTTTTGGAAGACATGGAAAGACATGGGTTCTCAGCGAGTCAGGAACAGGAAACGGCCGCTTGAGATGGGCCTTCGGATTACATGCAAATCCTGTACCGGTACATGAAATCCGTACCATAACCATGTCTCCTTCCCTTCCCTCTTTGCCTCACTCTCCCAAGACGACAGGGTAAAAAGGAAGGTACCCTAGATACGAAGTACCTTACGTAGGTACCTCAGTGCCTCTCTCTTTCCCCGTTAAGCCCAAGGCACCCACCAGACTTGAAGCCTCAGGCCGGGAACACACATGGGTACGGAACTGGAAATAGTGCAAGTGGCACTGGGCCACTGCCCACTGGTAGAGACTGAGAAAGAGAGGGGGGGTGGGTGTTCATCCACCATCCATCCACTCAAAAGTCACTCCCCTCGACAACACCTCCAAGCAAGGTACCTTACCTTCGCACCACACAGACATAGCAGACACGCTAGACCCCGATGCGCCAGCCCACCTCACCACCCTCTCTCTCTTGAACGGAATCCGCTCCGTAACTCGACTGACTGCAAGTGCGGTAGCGGGAGCGGCATCATGGCACGCCTCGCCTCGACAGAGCATTCCCAAGCCGTGCCTGCACACTCCCTACTCTCACCACTTGGTAGAACACGCGATACCAAAACAGCCACTATTGACAAACCAGTGCTGAACCTAGATTCAAGACGGCATCTGCATCAACAATCTTTGGATTGACACTCCAATTCGGCAACGGGCCCTTCGAGACCGTCGCGGGTCATGCCGCTGGCTCCTGGCCAGCATTCTTTTTCTTCCTCTCCAAAAAAGAGAGCGGGGACCGAACATCATCATTTGGGTCGCGGAATACCGCCCGTCGACCATTTGAGCAGGAGAGTGAGAACCTCGTCTTCCGTGCAGACAGTAAACAGGCCAATTGCTGTATCATCATTCGCATGCCAGAACTGCTGGGAACAAAGGCCAAAAAAACGCGAATTCTATTCTGGTTGACGGAACTGCGCCTGACTCTATAAACAACCCTGCGATCAAGTCACCGTTCCAGTGCCTGCTCTCCGATGAAGAGCAGGCCGTGGAAGCGAATCTCGATGCCGATTCCACCTACACGCTCATCAGTGTGCTTCCCAGACAAGCCAGCTCGCGCTTCTCGACGTGTCAGCGGTCGGAGCAGCCAGTCAGACTGGCTTAAATCGCCAGAGATGGCTATTCCCACGCCTCTGCGCGGGGAGACGGAGCATTGCACCAAGGATTGAAAGACACCTGAAATCGAAGAATTGCGCCGCGATCGAAAGCCGCTACCACCCCTGCTACACACGCTCACGCGGATGAATCTGGCCACCACGGGCCACGGTTGAGGAACGCACCTCGTCCGTAGGCACCTGTCCCAAAGCACGGTGCGGGTGAGACAACAGACCGCGACCCAGGACGACGTAATTATTGCGTTGACGTCTCTCCTTCACCTCACAAATGTCCATCTGTACCTTATGGAACAACCCAAGTGGTTGTATGAATACTGGAAGGGAGCGTCCACATTAAAGACATGGTAATGTTTCGATGATCGATCAACCAGAAGTCGATTCAAGATGAGAAGCCGTTCCGTCACGGCCGTGTGCGCCAGAAAACAACGGCCTTGGACCATGGCCCATCAGACCCAAAGCAAAGGCCGCCAGGAGGGGTTCGCATGGCGCCGGTGCGATGTGTCTTGCCGGTAGACAGACATCACCGAATTTGCAGAAGAATCGCATTTTCGCAATGCGATTACTGATGACACAACATGCCGTGTAACTCTGAACCGACACAAGGGGCAACTTCGCCGTCGCCTGACCTAGCATGCAACTGGATTACCTCCCGTTTAACCGAAATTTCACTATGTGGCGGAGGGGTAAAAGATGAAAGCCATCGTCAGTCTGGAGATTGTGCATTCGGCTGGATATGGCATTTGGGTGACGGATCGCAAAGTGAGGCTGAGAGCACATGTGCCTTCACTTTTGGGTTGTCACCGGCTCCACCATGCATTCAGAGCGTTCTGGAACTCGGACCATCTGAACGAAGCTGGACAAACCGACGGCAAGCAGGATTGGCACGGTATGCAGACCCTTTTGACGGGGCACTGGAACGAGAGATATGCATCAAACAATGCTTTGAGAGAGCTGGCCAGCACGGATTAGGATCATGGACCGGTCCAGCGTCGCCAGACTGAGCCCGCCCACGGTGCCAACACGATCCAGGCCCGTTAGGAGCACGCTACAGCACCGAATACGCGACAACGCGCCAGGCCTCCAGAGAATAACATCCATGGCCACATTCGAGCTTGTTGACGACGGGGCATTGACTGGATCGACATGGTCTGTGTGCTGATGTTGAGAGGTGACAGAAGCTGGTAAATTGAGAGTTCTGATATAGCAGCGCTATGTGCGAACTCACAGAGTACGGATCTCTTGTTTCAATATGCCAATACCCATGGCCAGCACTCGCGACGGTACGAATATTCATCTCGCGTCTTCTAAACCCATGTTGGATCCACGACATGGCCATGGGCTCCCGCTGTGGAGGGCGTTGATCTATCCAAGGGCTCCAATGGACGACGGAGGGTTTCGCCGCGGAACGTGCAACCTACATGCTTAATGGCAGTGTTACAGAGCATCGACGCGCTAGTCACCTCCCGACCCAACCTCCGATATGGACTTCCCGCCGTGACGTAGATTTGATGCAGCATGAGGCTTGCGGAACCGACGACCTCGGACCAACTGATTCTTGTTGGATCCCTTCTACGGCGCCGAATGACGATGAGTTACAACAAACTGTAAGGAGCTCGTGGGCCAAAGTTCCATCGAAGATACGAATCTGAAGATTAGCGGGCAGCAAACAGGCTGAGAGTAGCCACCGGCTGGCCTAGACACCGAGAGAACGGAGACTGTGGGCGTGAGAGACTGGGAAGAGGCATGAGAGAAGACAAGTCAGTCCTGCGCGCGGGGAGGAAGGAAATCGTCGATGTTTGCGCATGGCCTGCAGGCCTGGTTGAGGCACGTCGTCACTGGACATTCGAGAATACGATCGCAGACGGCACATACGATCATCATGGGAAGCACAGGCAACAGGGCTGATGCTGTTCTTGCGCGGGCATGCCCAGACACTGGGCCGCTAGCACGCTGGTTGGCGAGAGAGTCTAGACTTCAACTGGGTACAAGTGTATCTGTACAAGACTACAACCGTACAAGCGTAACGCAGGCGCAGAGAAGCATGACTTTGCAGTGAGCGAGCAAAGCAAGGAACAAGACGGGACTGGATTTGGCTGAACTCATCCAGGGCGAAACCGTAAGTTACGGAGGAGGGCACATGGATGACAGAGGGATGGGATCATTTGGGGATGTGATGATGGGTGAGCAAACAAGGTTCCATTGACTGCGACACGGTGAATTCCAACATCTCGATCGCGAACGCCCATTTCCCAGTCATCGAGATTGAGCAAAATGCCACCAAGAGTGAGAAAGATTGGACCGCCGCCAGTGCGTCAGAAAGCACTGGGTTTTGGTGTTTGGG